CCACCGGGTGAGATGTAACTGCCTAAATAACAAAACTTATCCACTTGCTCTATTACTTCTTCAGTTGGAGTGAGGCTGGGTGCTGGACCGACCCAGTCTTGTAGTAACATTTTACACTTTGAGGGTGCAAAACGCATACCGAACATGGCTACACTGATATTCAAGCTGTCCAAATAAGCTTGCAACTTACCTGCATCTTCACTTAGTAGCACAATGTCGTCTGCATGTTCCATATCAGACAGTCTGCCGCCTGGAGGTAAATCGATGCCGCTATTCTCGCACGAGGGTAGGGCTGTTTCCACAATCAAATCTATGACAAAGTTGAATANCTTTCTGTAGTGAACTCGAGGGAAAACGTGCCGTAAGCTCGGACTCGACTTCAGCAGAGGTGATGGGTCTACAAAAGGAATGTCGATTCTCCAGAATTTGACGGAGTGAAGTTGTGGTCAAAACAACCTCGACCAGGTCTGAAACCAGCCTGGTTCTCACGCATGCACTCTCCACGTGCGGCAGACAATCGATGGAATATGATACCGGCGAGAAGTTTAGAGGCAATGTTGATCAAACTAATTCCTCTATGGTTTTCACAGGAGGATTTGCCGCCTTTCTTGTAAATGCGTATGATGACCGATTCACACCATTCAGCTGGATCCTCTTCCCTCTCCAAAACCAAGGCTGAACCTCCATCCTTAAAACCGATGGGGACAGCCCGTTGGGGCCGGAAGACTTATGCCTTCAGAGGTAACTTATTTCTCGGGTAACCTCCATTTCAGATGGAGGACTGACATCAGCTGGCAGTATTTGCCCAGTCAAAGTGGAGGGTGACAGATCAGATGTCGATGGGGGCCAGTTGACCTGAGCCTTGAAATGTTCAGCCCATCGATCAAGACGGCGTTGCTGATCGTGTATCAGTGTGCCATCAGACTCTTTAATTATCTCACTTAAGCCTACTTTCCTGGGGCCTGTATTCAAAATTAGACGGAAAAATTGCAACTATTGCTGATAACCATAGCCTTCTCCATCTTTCTACATTTCTCTACCCACCACTTCTCTCGGTCATTCCTCAGACTCTTTATGAGCTGGCGTTTTAATGGATTTGCTCGCTGTATCATATGTGGTATCCGGAGGCGGGGTTCTGCGGGCGTCCAGCAGGGCAGCCGAGGTTGCCGAGATCCATCGTTTGGATTTTGAACCAACGCCAGGATCCGACCTTGTTTTTAATGATATCTGCATTGCTTACTTGATTTGCTTCCGATTATCATTAAGTCCTTCGACTGGTGGCTGAACTGACAGGCGATTGGAGAGCTCCGCTTTGAAGACCGATTTGCAGCCATCACGGATGCTGTATCGTGGGTATTCGTTGTCGGTGACTTTTCTGCCGTTGTTTGCCAGGCGTAGGGAGAATTTGGCTCGTAACAAGGCGTGATCTGTATCCACAGCTGTTGACCAGTAAGAGCGGCAGCCGTGAATTGATCCCCTCCAGCGGTAACTGATGGCGATGTGGTCAATCTGGGTCCAGCGTTGTGAAGAAGTTGGTGGTTTCCATGTAAGACGGTGACGTTTCTTGTGTGAGAAGTTCGTGTTTGACAAGAACAACCATGGTCCGCGCAGAGTTGAATTAGGCGATCTCCGTTGTTCGTCCGGNCCCCGGCGACTACTATGATGTCCGTTGATCAAAAACTTTGGAGTAATTGAGAAAAATCCTCGTAGAATTCATCCTTGATTTCAGGTGCATATACCGATAAGACGAATAAGCATCGACGCTTCATCCTGTAGCTGTTGATTCGTGCTGAACCGTTGAGGCCTACAGCGCACAGTCGGCTACTGACCGGAATACAGTCAAGAAGCGAGCGCTCCGCTTCGGCACTTGGCGCAATCCGGATACCAACAACACCGCGAACTACGGACGCCGAATCGTCTAACACACGAAGGGTGAAGTGCGAGGTTGGATCAGGAGAACGCAGGGACATAATGGAAGTGGGGTCTTGTATGCGTGTTTCGGAGACACAAAATACATCTAAATTGAAAGTTTCAAGGGTTCTAGCTAAGGTACCTTGTTGACTGATCTGATAGTGTGCGAACATTGAATGCGGCTAAGTGAAAAGGGGATTTTGGCTTTGAAAAGCCTATAACTTTTGATTATCTGGCCTTGCTTGTAAAACACTGATTGATATTCGATGGGTGGTGTAAACAAGAGGCATCTGGGATTATTTGGGATTGATAAGAACTAGACATGGGAAAGATGGTTTTCCAAATGGGTTCCTAAACCTTTAGGGCACGACATACTTTGCGGCAGCCCACACCGACGAAGGGGTTTATCTTTGGAAACCATAAATGGAGCCTTCGACTCAAAAGTCTGACCTACAAGGCGTAAATCCGACGAGGGAGCGTGAACGAAGCACTCGTGTGGTAGCTTCTAGAGAACTGTCACGCAAGGCCTTTCGGTTAGGTTTGTTGTTCGCTGATGCGTTGATTGTCGGTCCGCTTTCCGAGATCGGCCCTTAGCCTCATGCACCCAATGAGACAAGCGGAACGTGGACGGGACAGCACCTTATTGGATGGGGGATGCCCAGCTTGGGCGGGCGGTAGCTGTCCAATGAAGTGCGAAGACTTCTCCCACCGTCGAGAGAAAGCCCCAAGTACCCCTCTCCTACGTCCATCTAGTGGATTTTTTCGACCGGTAAACTGCCCCTCGCCGTGTTTATTTGCTTGAGTGACCTCTCCAGGGGCGGATATAGATAAGAGGAAGCCAGGAGGTGCCCAAGCAGCTGGCTTTGTGAGACTGAACTTTGTCTGGCCTCTACCTGTTGACCTTTCNTGGATCTACGGCCGTGAAAAGCCATCCTGTGTAGCTCGTAGAGACATGGAGGCACGCAAACCATCACACCAGGCCAAGGTGCAGTCTCTTCGTGATAGGAACAACTGTATTACCGGGTTAGAGTTGTACCTGGACAATCTGAAAACTAGATGCTTGAGAGCACAGATTAAAAAGCCCGTTAACGCCTTACCAGGTTTCGCATTTAACAAACAGCCATTAAAATAGTTTTCCACTGGAGGGAAAATTGTCCAGACTGACCACGTTTATCCGACTTCGATAACGACTATTACAAAATAAAAGCATATTGAAAACACAAAGGCATCATGTCAACATTCAAGCACCACCTGTATACTTCCCGTGAGCTTATTCATGCCCATCGCGTTTAATACAGACCAGGCTTTTATTTGATCATGCAATTGATAGGGCGTGAGGACAGATTCGAACAGCTGTTTCATCCTTGTTTGGACTCATCAGCAGTGCGTATTGTGTTTTGGTATCTACTGGGACCTGAACAGTGAATCTTCCGTTTGTTATATAATACACAGTTGTGTGATAAACAGCGGTGGGGTGGGCCTCATAGTCCAGAAGACCTTACGCTCAGTGATAGAACCTGGTAAACTAAGCCCCCAGACTTGGAATTGAGAACCACCTGAGGCCCCACTAGGTTAGACGTGGTATTGAACTGCACGAAAGCGAAGCTACCTAACACTAACAATGGGTGGCGGTGGTGGAGCTCAAACCTTGGGTCACAGGATCCGAAGCACTCTAGTGACAGTGAATAAACCACTGCACCACCGCCGACAATGCCAGATACACAAGCGCGCGGACACATACGCATAATAAAACCTAACCAGATTTCTTATTTCGCTTCACTTCCATACGTTGTTTAATGCTCTACGTATGCAACCGACGAGAGTATAACAAAGAAATTCCTCTAGCACTGTTCTTATTCTGACTTGTCTGTTCAAATAGAGGAGAGTTTGAAAATTATTCCATGCGACTATGCAATCAAATTGATGAACACCCACCGAGGGCAAGGCTCGCAGCGCGAAGGCTCTCGGTTCTGGTGCTGACACCATCGATAAATCCAAACAAGTCGAGTGCTCTCTATCGGTCATCATGATTCTCCCTCGGAAATCAAATAGATTTATATGTAGGCAACTAACAAACACCCAAGGAGTGAGACCCACGCTAGAACAAGAATACGGATACCCCGGCGCGTGTGAGTGCGCTTGTATGCCGTAAGAAACTGTAAAACTTTCATTTTATTTTTTTGTTCTGTTCGATTGACAGCTAGCTTTCTCACACACTAGGTATTTCGGGACTAACCTTAGCGCAGATTTTGCAGCAATTGTACAACTCAAATGGCTCCACATCTCTACATTTTCTGTGCTTCGGGTATTTTTGGTTCAAAGCGAAATCAGAGACAACTCGGATAAAACATTTAAGTTTGCATCACATTTCAACGTCAGTTTACGCATAGTTATTGACCGAACTTTCTAGGCAGCTCACTAATGAAGGTAAGATTTGTTGACTACTCCAGGTAACTTACTCTCCATTTGTTTGAGATGCCGCCCTCTTTTACATAAGCCTGTGCGCTTGCATTTCGACATCAAATCAAAATGCAACCTTTAAAACGGAACCTCGGTTTTGGAAAGATTAACAACTCTTAGTTTATCATAAAAGGTTGTAAGTGTCTGACTCACTGTCAGCGATTCACCATTGATAGTCGTTCGGTGACGTGAATAAACCCAGTAGTGGTCCGAGCACCCTTGGCATCAATCGCAATCAAAAAAGTCATGACCGCAGGTGGAGCAAGGAAATGAGCGCGGGCAGCGATGCACAAATTATGCGGAGAATTTCTGATTGTTCATTACTTATCGCAAGCTATTTCAGTCACTCAACTTGGGGTGACTGGACGGGCAAAATTACTCATAAATGTTTCATCCAACATCTCCCCCGCAAAGGGACTTCCGGTTGGACGAAGTAACAACTGATGTCGATGTAAAAGCAAACACACGAAAAACGTTATTGGAAGGATTTCTATGGTAAAATCAGTCAGAACCGTAACAGTGTGTCAGCACGAAAGGAGGAAGCACCATACGGGACTGAGATCTGGAAGGTATTGTATAAAGATAAGCGCTCTTTGTTAATGAAGCGAAAAACTGTTTCTTAAAGAAAATTAAAAACAGTTTATTATTTTTTTAGTTTTTGATAGCCACACCGTTTCTGTAATCGAAAGACGCCGGAAAAACAGCCCGTGAACGCAAACTAAGAAATCTGGTTCGATGTATTCGGAGAGATAATCCGGTTTGCACAAATCGAGATATAATGAAACCAACTTTTATTATCATTTAGTAAATCCAAATCGCGCTTAAAGTAACTCCGGAATATTGCGTCGTTGTTCAATATTTTCTGAGCAAAGACAATTATCCGTCAGGTATAAAACTAAAAGGCTTAATAATATTGTGAGAAAATCGTTCCGGTTTATTCGAATTCGTGGAATAATACATGACTACAAAATATGTTTACAAAACACGGAGTTAACCATGAATGTGAACCATGAGGCGGAATCTGATGATTATGATGATACTGACACAGAATTTAGTTTAGTATAACTGAATTCATGGTAATATCAAATCACCGGGGTACAAATCAATGGACGGGCTACATAAATTCTTTGAAGGACTTATGAAGTATAAGGGTAGACGGTGAGCATGTAAAACGATAAGGGCGAGTGTGAAAGTTGTGTGTGTCTGTGGGGGGGACCCGTCCTCCCACTGCACGCACAGGATACAGTTTTGTTTTGCACAAGGAGAAGTTGAAAGTAATAGATACGGTGTAACTGAAAGAATGCAATCTCGAATAAAGCTGTTTTATTTTGTGAGCAGACTGGCAGCTCATGAAGCGGAACAAGTATTGATTAATGTTCCAATAAATGCTTAAGTACAGTCGGGTAGACCAGATCTGCAGCATCCATGCCCCATACAAAATCGAGATGATTGTAACTAGGTAAAAAATAGTGCTCTATCACATTTTTTTCAATCTGACTCAAGAGTTTTGTTATGTCTGTTACAACCGCCAGCCAATCGTTTCCACCGTTGTACAACACTATGGGCATGGTCAATGTGGATAGTTTATACTCAGGTGGCGTACTCTGACCGTATTTTTTCATGTTCTTGGCTTCACCATAGTCGAAGCGCTGAAAATTATCGGAGATCATAGCCTTCGGGGTGAAGAAAAGGGGGAGAAATAACAGAAGGGATGAAGATAATGAATCGTAAGATGATTTTGAATGGAAAATAATAACCACACTACTTGTGGTTATTTAAGTAGCTAAAAACCGGAAGTATTTTTTGTAACCGCTGTGGTGACTCGCTCACCACATCGATCCCATCAATATTCTCTCAGACTAGCAACGGCGGAAGCATGAATAGTATGTTGGAGCTACCGGTAGTTAATGTCTACTCAAACGTGAAGAAATATTAATAGCACCACAAAAACAATCGATTTTCGGTTTGACCGTGAGCAATTCAACTTAGATCAAATAAAACATGCCGCTCAACCGTTCGACTTCGGTTCGGTCATTTCAAGCACAAAATATGAAACAAGCTAATGTTTTTTCGTAAACACTTTGCCTGTTTCCACCTACGAAAGACGACCAATATTTCCAGACGTATGTTCACCCACACTATAGGTTTTAACAAGTTGCACTTTCTTAAAAGTGCCTTTCTGTTTTTGCCAATGGTTTAGTTAACTTTCGACTGTTCGCCGAGCTTGGCAATTGGTTTTAAAACGTTTTATCAACAGCCGAGGTGACATTATCAGTGCTTGTGCCTCGGCTGGTAATGAAACGTTTACAAACAAATTGCCAAGCTCGGCGAACAGGCAACATGGAATTCAGTGCACCCGAGCTACGAGAACCGATTTTCAATAATTTGTCGACAAATGGTTTAGTACAATGCGAATAACGACTGGTGTTTTTCTTATCATACAGTATTGTGTCGCGGATTTTACCGAGGTTATAAGCCGGACAAACCACTCAAATAACGAGAAGAAACTAACTGCGACGAACTCTTACCCATGATTGGTGTTAATAATGTCTAATTGCAATTTGTTTTCCACTGGTAACCAACACACTCTATGGAGAACCTTAGAACGAATCACAGAAAAACAATTGTTTTGCCACACTGTTCTAAATGCTGTCATGGGCATCTTTCAGAGATGTGCGAATTGCTGAAGATTAGCAGTCTCTGTATTGATATAAGCTTTTTATTTAGTGGTTCATTACATACCCGGTTATGACATCGAGAAAAAATTGATCTACGGAAATCAAGAGTAGAAAGAAGTAAAAATTATCCAGATACCTCCACCTTTGAAGTTCCATCATTTTCCAGATTTCATTGCGCCATAAGGATCAATTTTCAGTATAACCACTTCCCGCACAATATATGACATCGACAAACTTAGCTCAGTGCCTCGGATAATGCAGGAGCCTAACAAGTAACTTCGAACATAACTGTACAAGATGCTGAAATTATATAACAAAGTTTGTAACTTTGAACACCGTTAAAAGTATGAAATTCATGTACTCGTCGTAACATGTTACGTCATAATTCTGTTTGGCAAAACCCTTGTCGCCAACTACAAAACAGAGTATTAGGTCAAGGCTAGTGTTGAGTGCCAAATACTTGATGAATCAGACATAGCTTTATGACCCTTTACATCAAGCCCCCTGTTAAGCGCCATCTATTAAAAATCTAAGTTACTATTATATTTGGTGTCCCGTCCCTATTCGGACTAACCCTTCCTTTAGCTCTCAAACCCGCAATTTCTCCTAGGTAGTCTGAATGTTATTTGACAACAGAGATCACATGTAAAGACTTCCACTGAGCAGTTCGATTTGGGTTTAGTTTTCATTCCTTCCAAAAGGTATCAGTATTCAAAACACCGTAACCATCTACTCTACCACACACACACACGCCCTACCCTAAGATCAGTAGTTAAGCTGTACAGATTGCTGTAACATTGATCCGGTGCTCGAATTCCATAACCGTCACCAAACTTTCCTACTTCCACAAATAGTTCTTTGCTACCCACTTCCTCCTTCCTAAGAAGTAGTCAAAAGATAGTGGGTATTAGAGGTTATTATTATTCCTGTTATTTTTACTTATTAGCAACATTCTAAAAAGCAGAAACGACAACTTTGACATAACCTATTCTCTGACAGGCAATATAATATATGTGTATATATTATGTATATATTATATATTACAAAAGTCGACCAGACACAAGACCACAAACTTCATCTTGCTGCATTGAATATTGATATGTTCCGCTGCGGATAGCAGTAGACTGCTATAGTACCTCAACAAACACGATGTCTATACTTTGATTAAGATTACTGAGCAGCAAATAAATAGGGCAGTAGATCCTAAGGCAAACACACAAGAAAGAGGAACCAAGAAGTAAGGAATGGTTTAAACCAACGGTTTCCATAGAAATGATCATAATTGAAGTAACCAACTAAATGAACACACAAAAGGTAAAATAACTTTTATTAAAATATTTTAAATTTGGTGCATTTTTCAAAACATGCTGAGTTCAGTTGAGTTCTCATACATATTAGTCCTACTTTTGGGCCCCGGAGTTGGTGGCTATCTTTTAGGCCCTCATTTGGGTAACCACGGAGAAAGCAGTCACCGGACGAAGTTAAATACTGAGAGGGCCGTACCAATATGAAGATACAGAATAGAATTAAACTAGATCGGCAAAAAAACTGAGTAGCTGTATGCATGCCAATCTTTGCGTGCATTTACCCACCGATTAGATTGGTCTTGAGGTCCCTAACGAAGAAGCCTAATGTGATTTACTTGGCCGAATTATCTAGTCCTCCAGATTGGGGGTTCGACTCGAATTAGTGTCTCAGTCGGTAAGATCATTAAAGCAGTAATCCATCTAAGTAGGTGGGCTTCTACTTCGCTTTACCCGTTGCCTTGCGGTCAGGTTCTTGTTAGAACTAAAGGTTTAGACGAGAACACTAATCGTTCTCCTGCTTAGTAGCTGGACACCCTAGGAGTCTATCAAACTCTAATGCATACACAAACTATAATTATTTCCACATTAAATCGGCCGTCGCGCAGGATAATTAGGAGTGTGTTGCTCAGACTTCCCAAACTGTTGAACTCTAAGTCTTCCAGACCCAACCCTCTCCCGTTACCCCTTATTCATATCCATAATATACCCCTAGCCAGCTTTTTCTTCACTCACCAAAGCTCGTTGGCTAGTAATGCTGTCAGTAGCTTGTCACAAAATAGACTGCAGATTCTGAAGCATCGTCAACCTCTCAATCTAGGGGTCTTCAACGTGAGTACACTGATGCAGGTAAATCAACAAGCTTGTCTAGCGCGTACAATGAACTCTTTGGGAATTGGTGTCTGCTGCGTATCGGAGACACGAACTCAGAAATCTAGTGTTATAAGCTACTTAAGTGCGCTGGATTTACCTCCGAGGTACTTCCTCCAAACATCAGATGACGACGAAGCTGTTCAGTAGGCTGTGTGGTGTAGGCATTGTATTCAATAATACAGTCGAAACATCACCAATCGATTGGTTCCCTGTAAACAATCACTTTTGTGCGATGCAGCTCCAAGGTCGATCAGCGTTTGGAAGGGAAGTAACACCAAGAGGTGTTCGTTCATCATTTCAGGGTATGCATCGACGAACTGCAGTTTTGACGCACAAAAAGACGAGTTTTATGATAAACTCACCAAACTCAGTCGGTTCAGCCGAAGATCCAACATAGTTGTCCTATCAAGTGATAACTGAGTGCATCGGAAGCGTGCCTAGCCGGTCACTGTGGTCTGCGCTGCCAACAAACAGATAACGGCGATCGAATTCTTCAGTTATGCTCATATCCGCATCTGTTCCTATCCAGTACCAACTTCCGGCACAGCTCTAAACGGATAACAACGCGGCGCTCCAATTCAACTGGCGCGCTAACTCAAATCGACCACTTGGCATTAGGCTAACGTTGGTGCGGCTGAGAACAAAACCGTAAACGGTATTGGATCACTTGAGTTGAGTCTGACCACACATTAGTTTTCATGCAGTTCACCCTCCGACTCACTGGTCGCAGAAAATCCCACCAACTCATCTCTTATCTGACCCAGGCGTTCATGCTCGTTTTGAATCAGAACTCGGCCTTGAGCTAAACGCGATGCAGCGTGGTAGTGTAGATGAACAGTGGAATTAGATTAGACGAGCAATGCACTGGGCAGTGAGGGTTGCTCGTGCATCCGAAGCGGTAGCCCGTCCAAGGCATTGGATATCTGGTAAGTCAGTAGCACTGGTGAAGAAACAGCGGATAATCCCGACCACTTGAGGTCAAAGCAGGCTAGGTGGCGTCTGCAACATCCGTTCACAAAGAACCTCAAGAAAGACCGAGAAAAATGGCGGGCAACAACAGCTAGTGAAATGGAAGTAGCAGCTGCATCAGGGAATAGTAAACGACTGTTCCAACTGATACGCAACACAGGAGATCGGTGAACCCCAGTTAGTGAGACAATCTACAACAAAAGAGAACAAGCTATTCACGGTAGGGAATAACGGCTGGACCCGTGGCCCAGGCACTTCAGCGAACAGTTCAGCTGACCGGGCGCTAACTAGGCTATCTCATCTGATATAGCTGAGGCACCGCGGGCAATGTCATGTGAACCTCCTACTGAAGCAGAAGTACGATGTTGCATCCAAGCCTTAAAGAAAGGAAAAGCTGCAGAACCGGATGGGCTTCTTGCCACTCTTTTCAAGATGGAGGCGAAGAACTCGTAGAATTCCATTACTGGTTTAATGCGTATCATCTAAATACACGAGCGCATCCCGTCATTCTGGAGGGAATCACCGGTCGTTCCAATTTTTAGGAAGCGATCTCGTAAAGACTGCGCGAACTTCCGTGGAATAAGTTTGATCCTAATCGTCACCAAGGCATTAGCCTGTATCATATTTTGACATCTGACGCCCTGCAGGGAGACAAACATCCGTGAACAACAAGCAGAATTTTGACCAGGTCGCCGCTGTTTTGACCAAATCTTCAAGTTGCGTCAAATCCTCGAACCATGCCATACACACCGTCGACCAACGGTTGTCGTGTTCCTTGACCCAAACGGAGCCTTCACTTCAGTTAACCACGAACTCCTTATGGGTTCGCTCCTTCATAAGGAGTGCCACAGAAATATGTAAATATACTGAGTTCACCCTACTGGCATATTTTTAGTAGCGTAGAGGTCTGTGGCGAGCTGAGTAGGTCGTTCATAACTAGCAGCGGTGTTCTTCAAGGGTGCCCTCTTTTGTCATTTCTGTTCCATTTCGCCATAGACGAAATACCGAAGAACGCACTTAGTGGCCTCCAAAATGTTGGTATTGAATTTGCAACTGGAGAAAAGCTGTGTGATTTAGGGAATGTTGACGATATCGTTTGTTTGTTTGGATGCATGGAGGATGCAGAAAGCGGTCTTGACAGACTTGCCTTTCGGCATGCGCTTTGCATCTGCGAGGTGCAAAGTGATGCTGTGAAACTGGGTGTTGCCGAGTCAAACTCTGAAATTAGACGGTCAGGAATTAGCTGAGGTTGACTGGTTCTCGTACTTGGGTAGGTGCATGACCAACGACAGTAACGCGTTTAAGGAGATAACCACCCTCATTTCTAAGGCTCGAACAGCATATGCAGGGCTGAAGCACCCGTGGCGAAGATGTGAAGTTTCAACCAATTTGGAAAATCTCCTTTACTGCGTCTCTGTATGATCAGTTCTGCTTTAAGGTTGTGAGACCTTGAACCTGCGAGCAGAAGACATCCGTCGCCTGGTGGTTTTCGACAATCAATACTCATTTAATCTGTCCCAAGTGGGATGGAGTGAACAGGTTAGTGATCTGGACGTAATTCGTCGAGAATTCATCGAATACAAATTTGCTAACGCGTCGAATTCAGCTCAATAAGCTCCGTTGGTTAGGACACGTTTTGCGTATGTCTAACGGTCGTGTACAAAATGTGCTTTATTTGTATTCGCCGCTTCAGACTGGAGAAAACCACGTGGAGACCAGCAGATGAAGTGGGGACGAGGTATGAAGAAATGCACATGGTGATTAGGTACAGTAGGTGTCTCTTATCTTCCGGTTTGGAACGCAAAAGACTCCGGACCGTTTATTTGGAGACACTGAAAGTTATCACAATAAACCGACAGCAGTAGCGATTTTTCTGTCACTTCTTATCATACCGGATTGCTTGAAATTGTTTGTACAGACAGTTGGACCGTTTACTCTGTGATGACCACAGAAGTTCCATTTCTTTCTGCTTCCCTAAAAATAGGCCCAACTCGTATGCTCTTCATACATTCTTATTTACTTTGTATAAATCATGAGTTTGGCAGCGAGCAGTGAAGTTCGCTTCACCGTACTCCACTATACCATGATGATGATGATGAATTATCTGGTCAAGGACGTCCATGAATATAAGCGGAGACAAAGTTCCGCGAAGCTTCAGCAACTTCCTTTTTCGTTGTAATATTAAAAGCGTCCGTGGAACATAATCATATTCTTGAATGGCGATCCGCCTTGTGATATACTGCAATTATTGTGAGACTAAAATTGATCGTGCAATGTCGAAAAGGGTGGGGGAAAATAGTTCAAGCAAGCTTGTTAAAAGTGGACGTGGACAAAAGTTACTAAATGTAATTTAAGACGCGCCCTTCCCAGGTCAGCAGCTGTGTATGATACGTACCTGACAATAATGCACAATATTTCGAACGGATGTACCCGCCGGAGTATGGGACAAATAGACTGGAAGCCGAGTCTGTGAATGCAAAGAAAACGAGATTACTACATCAGAGAAAATCACACCGCTTAATTGTGATACAGCATCTGTCTCTATCTAGTTATAACCGATGACTCATGCACATTTCAACAGAATTGTCATTCTGTATTGCGTGCACTCCATCTATTCGTGGCTAGTTACACAAGAGAGTACAACCGATCGGTCGGTCGATCAATGAAATCTCATGCACGTGATACATAGCGAACAAAAGTGTGAGGAAAAAGCTTTTAGTCAATTAATTTGGTGAATATTAACAAAGCAATACTACCTTTCACTGGACCAATTGAACAGGAGAAGCCAAAAATTTTAATCGAAGAATTGTGCTAAGTTTCGATTCATTATCCCAGTGCACATCAAATTAAATTTGATGAGAAGGTGAAGGTGAATAGACGAAATTTAACGAAATATTCGTTCGTAACAGTTTATTTGTACATTCTTTTATATCTGCAATATGCGTGTTTTATTATCAATAAAAAAGAAGTCGACCGGTGCACAAATTGGGAGTAAATATTTTGGAAGTTTTTACTTTCTGCTCCCTTGAGTACGATCTATGTTAATTACACCCCTTCCAATATTGATTGAAATTAATGCAGCACACCGCGAAAGCCTGTAAATTTACCCCATGCCTCGGGACGTCTTTCTGTATCCGGAAAAACCAGTTTTGTGTAAATACTGTAACACACCAGTGACTCAGGTCTGGGCCGTATTGGACCACTACTGCCGAGTGTTTTGCGATAATTGATTATCCAAACGAAAATGAGCGGATATGGACAATGCTCTCGAATGTATGTAGGCGGTTTAAACTTGGCAACCTCGCTCTTTCTCGTGGAGTAACTATAACCAGCACTATCATCACAAACATCAGTTATCAGAACAACTTTCAGATCTTTTGTTAATCCTATTTTGTTAAAATATCGAGTTATTCGCATCCATTCAAAAGCGATAACCATCATATGCCCAATGTCACTACAGAAAATCAGCCAATCCGAAAGATTTTGGGGGGTGATCTACCATCCAATAGCATGCATGCCTGAAGGACCTGACCTTGAACGAAGTTAAAATATCACCCGATGATGTGCAGTGCAAACCGTGCTTGTAAAGCCGATGGACATGAACATACGACTGCGCCGAGATATCAGACAGCAACGGACATAAACAAAAGTGGACACACACTGCGTGCTACACATATTCTATGGATCAGCTAACAACATTCGAGAAGGCGACCTGGTATTGATTCGCTTCAAATGGAACAAAGAGACCTGGATGTTTGCATACTTTAAATGCTTGAGATGGAAGATCATGCGGAACCCATTTGTCGAATATTTCGAACTCGCCTGATCTGGTTTACCTAATAATTCTCATTATGCTGTTTGAGCTTAAAGTAAGAAACATTTACCGCACTTATTAACACTCGATAATGTGCTTCAAGGCACAACAGATGCAACCTTTGGATTCTGTGTCTGCACACATTTTCCATTATCTGTTTTATTACACGTGGTGCGAAAACCCAAAGTAGACAGGATTCGGATGATTGCCCAGTGTTACAGGTTGCCATACTGCTTACTTAAACAAGCACATGTTGATATGTGAATAGAAGAGTTCGTCCCAATTTCTTGACTGAATAGGCCAACCCACACACGACGGTGGGGTGTTTGGATCGGAGTACGACCGGGCTGATCTTGTGCTTTTTGTGCGGGGCTAGGGCGTACACACACACACACACACACACACACACACACACACACACTCGTCAGACTCGGTCGCCCCATACGGCTTGTGTGTCCATTCGCAACTATCCATGTAAGTGATCTAGGACGAGGATTTTGTAAAATTCTCAGACACCTCGCTGGTGGTGATGCATTACCATATGCAGATTTGGTGAATCGCAAAATTATCTATCGCTAGTTATTAAGTCCAGGTCTCATCAGGAGCTCTAAGAAAGCATACATGACCTATTTATTTATACCTTTGAGATATATTATAATCTTCAACATAACGAAATATTACCAGTGGTCCACCAACCGGGTTTTTGCCCCAGATGTCGGCTTTTCGTTCTCTCACTTTGGTGGAAAAACCTCCTCCACGAGAAGGCTTCCTCAGCAGAGGCTATTCGAGACGCTTGGTAATATGGGAGCATTTCGGGAGGTGAAAGAGAAGGGTGACCAACCGTAACCCTAGACACCCACCTCCAATCATACTGAGGCTTTCGGAGGCACAAACAAACAAACAATGGTTTATAATGGATCGGTTTCACGTTTACGCAGCTACGGACAGAACATACGAATTTACTTTGCACATGAAAAACATTCAATCTGATACCTGGATCATATGCTCTCTAAATTGGTATCAATCTGTTTAGTCCCTGTGGCTGAATGCAACCATTGTATCCGTAAAATCGTAGTTGTAAAATCAAGTCTATTAGGAAACAGTTTCTGTTTGGTTGGTGGTCCAACAGTGATTGAAGTTAATGATCTACGAAACAAAAGAATGACGAATTAAAAGTACAGGCCTACCATATTGGTGTTTCCTCGATTGAAACCAGTAAACAGAAATATCACATTCGAGCAAACGGACGGAACACGATCGTAGCGACAAAGGATATCGCCCAAGAAGCGAATCAGAGCGGTTGATGGTAAAAATTCACCATGTCCGAATAAATCCCAAACATTCTCCAGTGTCCGAGCATAGTGTGCAATAATGCGCACTGGGCTCGTCATGTGACCGAGGTATGCGGCTGGTGCCAGAGCGATAAAAACATTGATACGAGATTGCAAGTCGGGGTTTTGACCGAAGTGAGCCAGTGCGATTTGACATCCCTGGAGTTGGGTAGACAAAAAGAGGGAAGGGGGGAGGGCGGTCAGAAAAAAGCACTTTTAAGTTACCTTTACCTGGTATATAAAATAACAACAGGACAGTTATCATCATCGTAGACTGAGATACAATGAGGCGAACTTCGCTGATTGCTGACAAGCCCACAAGGTATACAAAGTAAGTGAGAAAGTACACAAGGGATACAGTTTGGGCTTTATTCGACAGGCTAAAAAAAGTGAACCTCTATAGTCAACACAGTGCACAATTTAACTGTGCATACACACGATTTCAGGCGTTCTGACCTGATAAGAAATGACAACAGTTCAGTGTGTACAATCATTAACCATGCAGTGTTGTGCGCTTGTTTTATTTGCTGTCTTTTGTATGCCCATTCGGATGAACATTAGGAGAAAGACAAGAAGGCTGAAAGTGAGATCAAAGAGAAAATTGAGAATTTCACTTGACTAATTTTGCAAAGAAACTGAGAAGGCGCACGAACACCACTGATAATGACAATCACAACAAGAATGCAAGTGCTGTCCGTTAGTTGTCATGTCCTTCAGTGTCTCCAGCCAAAGAGTTACATTCTTTCAGACCCCAATCTGGAAGACGGGAGACAACTACTCCACCTAAATGTTCTGTGCATGTCTTCATGCCCCGTTTCCAGATCATGTGTTGACCACCAATCTGGAGCTGCAACTAAGTATGAAGCATCGTGATGTAGATGAAAGCTGGACGTGCTCAATAAGTGTTCTCGATGGCGAAGTCTGCTGATCTGAATTCTATGTGATAACTGATTTTCCACCGAATTACTACGCGAGGACTTATCTCAGAGTTGTTTACACGCTTGCTCCATCCAACCCGCACCAAACTAAGTAAGCATCGGTAGTCGAAGAATTCTAGACGCCGAATATCTTCCACGCAGAAATAAAGGGTTTCGTGACCGTAACTCATAACCGACCGCACATTGGCGCAGTATACGCGACCTTTCAGATGTAACGAAACATCAGGTAGACAACAAAGGTGTTTCAGTCCTGCGTACGCTGCTCGTGCCTTGGAAATGCAGACGATTACCCTCTTGACTACGCTGCCATAATTTGTCACTAATGAGTAGGAAAAATAATCAACTATAAGCAATATTTGACCATCAAGGATCAGAGTCGGGATCGGCAATACCCAATTTTGTAGCATCACTTTGTACGTTGAGGGCAGGAAGCGCATATCGAACGGGGAAACAGAACTTGCTAGTCTGTCAAGAGCGCTTTGGGCATCCTCTATGTATTCGAACAGATATCGTCAACGTTCCCTGAATCGCACAGATTTTCTCCAGCGGCCCATTCAATACCAACATTTTGGAGGTCATTAAGTGCGTTCTGTAGTATTTCGAATACGACGAAATGGAATAGGACTGGCGAAATAGGACACAATTGACGACACCAATCCTGGTTTCGAACGATTTGCTTGGTCCTCCTCTGGGGTTTAAACCTCAAACAGTCCATCGGATTGATTTTCATCTTTGGACGAGAATGGTTTCTTACAAGATTATTGAAACAATTCAATGGACTTGACTGAAGTCACACATATTGTCCGTAATAACAGGCAATGTTAACGGTGAGGGAACTTCAATAAAACCCAAGCCTTCATAAATCTACGCAAAAACGTATGTCCAAATAACTCAAGAAAAACTGATCATCCCTCTTCCATGGAAATCGACTAAATGAGACAACTTTCGATACAGTTTGAACCTACTCAATAACCGATAAGTCACATATCCTTAAGTTTCGATTAGGTGAAACAGCAGCACTGAAATAGAAGTTTACGTTTTCAGTGGTATTCTATAAAATGTTGATCGTTGACCATAGAACACATTTACAGTAAAATTTTGTTAAAACAAAAAGAGTTTGAAAACAAAAAATCAGAACGGTTTCGTGGTTATTAACTGCTACAGAATAAGGAAGAACTGAAAAGTCTGCTTGTGATTCCGTCACACCGTGCACTTAAGTTGTGCATCAATTTGAAAAAAATAAAAATAAAACGGCAAAATGGTAACATGAAAATGTGATAAAACTGTTGACTACATCTTCCTCCTGCTCAAAGACTGCTTTTGCATCTAATTAACTCGATGCGGGGCAGACAATTCAACAGTTAACTTTTTTTAAGGAACGAATAATCCTTTTGCACTGAATATGATTCCACCTGGTGTTTAACTATATAAAGGGACGTTGCCGAACGTACCTCGACTTAGTTTGGCGCACTTGGTAAATGACTCTAAATGCATCGTTTTCTGTCTGGTGCCCGGTATCGGCGAGGTGGGCCACAATCGCACTGGTTATTATCATCTTGCAACCCGTTCGATAACGTCACTTGGCGACGGCAGAAGCAGTGGCAATCAAAATCCTGAACCCACCACTTTGCAAACAGAAAAACATGGTTGCAACACTCCAGTTACCTTGGTCCGGCCCCAACCTACATGACGATCCGAATCATGACCTCAATCAAGTCGTGATGATGTAACATGGCGTGACAAGTCACACGTAAAAAGGTCATCGGAAATTTCGATAACTGACCTTGATCCCCTCCCCCATCTTTTCTCCAGTTGCTCCGATTGAACAAGACAGACATTGTTGTACTTTCACGTTTAACCTCAATGGCCCAATCACATTTCTCTCTACAGTTTTTATAAACACAGCACTGTCAATGCTTACAGACGAAGTTACGAAAACAAGCATGCTCGGTATGTTCCTTGTCATCTGAGTATTCATTGCAACAGCATATCACGAAAAGATAAAGCTGCATAATAATAATAGCAATAATAATAATGATAATAATGATGATAATAATAATAATATAAATATCTCAGGAAGCCACAAAGGGTCTGTATTTTTTCCGATGCAAAATAAGCCACGAGGAGAATAGAGAAGAGTTTGTGAATGAATATGGTTAGTCATTTTGGGGAATCGTTATCAGATACAAGTCCTTCAGTAGCTCTTTGTCCGTGATGATAAGGTTCAACAATATTGTTTGACTTGTGGCGTTTCGCGAGATAAAAACAATCAAAAAACCTGTATGTTTGCTAAAATTCGAAGAGATTTTGATTATTGCTAACATTTCTGGCGGAGGAGCAGAAAGAGCGACGACCGTGACATTTTGTAACCAAAATACTAACAATTTATTCACAGTATTTTCATCATAGATTAGTTCAAACAAGTAACCATATTTCTCAAATAGACTGTTGGTCCCTAAATGTTGAAAAGTTCCATTAAAGGACATAATCAAAATATTTGATAATGAGGCAATATTTACTGCAATTGCAAATGAGCAATTAAAACTCTGTATTTACATAAAGTTAGAAAAACTTACACAACGTTCAACGATGAACGGTACATAATAATAACCGATTCATCTATCAGAGCACAAGTTTCAAATTAAAGCTAGTACACAAAAGGGCCACCATAAGAGCTTTTATAAACGATCACTTATATTATTCAATGAGAGTTTGAAATAGTTAAGTATCAATCTGAGGGAATTATTTCGGACTGACGCCACTTTCGACATTCCAATCCTCATTTTACTCCTTTGTCCAAATAAGCAACCAAAATACCGCAAGTAAAGTGGTTGTAGGAACGTTTACGGTTAAGGTTCGTTAAGACTGAAACTGCTGTCTGTAAATCCAACCAAGAGAACACACAAAACGTTTCAAATGAATCCGGATTATTTTTGTCTGTGGGTGGGAGCGTATCCTTCATAGATGCTAAAATGAAAAAATGCTCGACAGAAAGCTATAAAGAGTCTGAAATTGCGTGGGAGGCAATAACAGTTCCACGTTCGATACCAAAGGCTTATGAACTCGCATTTAATTGATCATCCTCCGTACCTGGATTTCAGACCAATCAGTATATTTTCTTTTGACTAATTGATATCAAACAATTGACGTCCAGAATGATTTGCTCACCACATTTTATCCAGTCATGTTCCCAAGAGTAATTTCACTCTCCATGACTTTCCGTGTCGTAAAACTTCAAGAAACAAGTATAGACTTTTGCTCTCTGCTATTACTATCAGCATCCTTTTTGCATGTTAGTATGCGTGTAGGGTTCTGATTTGACTCANTTTACACTTCACTTCCTTGACCTAGTTATTCTCAGTATTGCACTCTGGGCATTGAGGTGATCACCTGATCACCTCACAACGATATGATCATGGCAGCAATTGGTGAAGTTCACTTTTCAATGACCGGAGAAAAGTGTTCAAAGCTGTCCGGTGCCGGTTTTGTGCTTGAAACCTTATCGGTTATTGACTCAACAGGTCGTGTAGTTGGTGAGTATTGAACGAAATCAATTTCTTCTCATGATTTAATGATTATGCAAACTACACGTGATAGATTGAGTTCGGTGTTTACAATCATTGTTCACGCACTTTGGTGCGGTAAGCACATACACGGCATCAAAATGGTTTTAAATCCACGTCTATAATGTTATTTTAACCTCTCTTTATCCAAGAAAAAACAGCTAAGTGAACCGAATACGGTATTTCAGGATTATTTTTGACGACCAAAAGTACCGCATTTGTTTCACCTAAAAAAACAGAGTACTTTTCAGACAGCACGAACCTAGGATCCGGCGAATCAAGATCAGTTCACTTTGAACTTAAAACATTCACCTATTAACGCAATTATGATAAATGAGCTCTACACTATTATCCCACCACTTTGAACAGGGGTGTTTCACTCAGCCCAAGGATGGTTCAGGGATTTTCGCTCATTACTTGAATCTACAGTAGCGTTGTATATGGGAAGAGCATTGTGAATACCTTGTGCTTGGTTATTTTTGATCATCTCCGTTAGGTCTTTCTGAGTAAACAAATCGTGGTCAGCATAGAAAGTTCATAATTTGATTTTTGCATACATTCTAACTTAATAAGAACTGATGACAACAACGTCCTTGCTGTCAGTTCGTTCTTGTGTCTCCAACCGAGCCGTGACAGCCCCCTTGGACACCGAAATCTAGGATATGAATTATCTGTGCAGTTGATCACTTCTTGTCTCTACGTCATATATCAGCCTCCATCACAAGGGGGAAACGGCAACCAATATGTAATAAGACGAACACTGTTCAGAAATAAACGCCACGATGAATTACTTACATTAATGACTGAAAAGTTGAGCAGAACAATCAAATTATGGAGGAAATTCAAACCAATTGGATTTGTATTTGTTTGGCATCTTTATAGAGTAAGAAGAGTGAGTCATCCTGATGCCTCATATAGCTACTTACTTTTTTATTCGTTCCGTTTCAAATGGGGAGTTCGCATTCCGTTGTAGCACTACATTTAATGCATTACTTGTAAAATTTATCGTTTTTCAATTCAGCTAAGTTTAGTTTGTACGACTGATTCGTCAGCACCTCCGTGATTCAGTTTTGTTGTTGCTGTTTATCACCCATTTAACCAATCGATGAAGAAAGGGGTGAAATTAACAGAAACGTTGAAGATATCACTGATACAGAAAGTGGTTAATGTAAATGTGGGTAAAAATTGAGTGGATGCATTGTTTCCGACATTCCGAAACAGTACGCATAATCTCTGTCACCCAATCAGGCGAATCCCTTGGTCAGCATCCAGGAGGCTCAACATGAAATGAAAGATCGATTTCACTTGTCAAGGCAGTCAAACCTGTATGCCAATTTATGGTTTAGCGATAACTAGCCTTCTTGTAACCGCATTCTGTCTCGGTAAACAACATACATCGAGGAAGCCTGTCCAGTGATATGCGCAACACATGCCCCAGATGCTGCAATGAATGGGATCAAGCAAGCCTTGAAGTAATTTCACAATGGCGATGACCTTAGCATAATCATGGCCTTCAGTCTTATCAACAGACTTGGGGAGGGCGAATTAGACTGCGGTGTTTTGAACATGCTCCACCCGCAACGGCTAGGGGTCTGCGCAGCACATTGCAAAACTTATTGTACTGATGCAGTGTAAACTAAACGGACCACAGGTTGTTGCGCAGGTTTGAATATTGTATAGAAATTTTCACAATTTCAGACGGTGTATTTAAAAGTAAAATATCAGTTTTTTAGACCTCTTAACTTCATAGTTAAGACTTTCGTTAATCTGCATCCATAAGTTAATGTAAATATTGTAACGAGCACAGATTTTAAAATAAATTCGAAATAATAGCATTTTGTCATGCACATCACCTCTAGCTTATATCCCAACAACTAAAATCACATGAGTTACCCATAGTGGTGATTACCCTAACATAGGGAGTGACTCCAAAATTCTGTTCTGCGCATCTCAGATGGACGAAGTAGGTTGGGGTAATGCCAAAACACCGTTTACAAATAATTTTCGTACCTCCAAAGGGGTGGCATAGCCGGCAGAATGAAGTAGCAAAATGAACAACATGCACAACTTAATTAACTGGTGAGTCCTAGTATCAATTATCTCTTTGTTTTACTTTCTTGTGCATGCTGTTTCAGTGTGAGTTTGCTCGACATGAACTTTCCCCANTTTCCCCAAATATCATTAGTTTGCTCATGCTTTATATGGGCATAAGCTGTTCAGTAGTTGTGTATGAATAGATGGGTTCATGTAATGTTTTTCTATTGTGAGGGAGAGCATTAAACACTTCCCTGATCAGGTTGAAAGGATCAGTATTTTGTCTAACTGGTTGTACTGATCAATCACTGAGGCAAATATGACGCTCTATATACTAAAACCGGTAGAGGATCATCACTCCAAAGAATATCTGACATCAAAGGTTTTTACTCCATGAGAAAGAAACTGT